TCAGTTAATTAATTAATTCCTTAATTGTGCAGAACAATTGAATTAAGTATATTTTCATTTTATAAGATAATTAAGCAGACACACTGAGTTAAGCTTCCTTCCTCCCCCAATACTTAGAATTGTCTTTTTCATTCTTACCCATCCAGAGAAAATAGAATTAGACCACAAAAAACTCCCAGCTTTGTATGTGCTAAATTTCAAATTAAGCCATTTTTACTCTAGGTTTTTTGCAGGGGTGTGTGATCACAACTTTCTTCTTCCCCCTTGGAGAATTTGTAAAATTGTCATGAAACAAAATGGAAAGCTGAAGGTTTTAAAGGTCATTGTTTAAAAATTTCCCATGTGAGGTATGGCTTTATCATTATCTTCAAACTTTACTATAGAAGCAGCTACAAATCATCTAATAACAACCAGAAACATTTGTTTCTCTGCTAAGCAGTGTAGCCTAAGAATAATTTTATGCTGTAGGAGCTCAAGTTTTTATGTCTAGCTTGCTAGCATAGTGCAAAACTATTATATTTGCAAAACTGCAACAGCTGCTCTAAAGGCAGAGACTGGATTATATTGGTGCGTCTTTTTTTCTGTTCTGTTCCCTTCTATTCTCTCTGAGGAATTGTACAATAATTTTTAGATTCAGTGTAGCCAGCTATGAGTCTTCAACTTCCAATAAATTTTGATGGAAAATACAATGTTTTAATTTCCTGTTAATTTCTACCAAAGTACAAGCTGGGTAGATTTTACAGTATTTTCATTGTAGTTTGATGCAGTAGAGATCAGACCCTTACATAGGAAAAATCAGCATACTTTCACTGAAGTTTTTACCTGTTGAAACTTCTTCCTTTTTCCCATCTTAAAAATGATGAAGAAAAATATCTAGAGAAAGAAAAACGTAATCTCAGTTTAAAAAGGCAGAAAGGTCAGAAGTGTCTAGAAAGGGACATAAAGTGTTTTCATGAATATCTTACTAAATGAAGAGAAAAAAAAAAATCTGCTCTATTGGTTAAAGTTTGTCACCCTATGAATTTATTTCTTTCACTGAATATTCTGGACTGGGATTTAGAATTATCTATTTAGGATTGCCTATCCTTTGTTTTAATATAATTTATCTTGTAATCTGTTTTTTAAAATATCTCTGTGAGAGAGTCACAATAGATTTTGTGTTGTTAGACAATGTTTTCCACATTATTTTTTAGAACTGGTTTTGTCTTCACCTTTTATTCAAAACGTATCCTGGGGAACATTTGAGATGGTAAGGAGAGGAACTATCCCAGTGCTGTTTGTGTCCCTGCCGACGCGTACATCATTGATTGAACTCTAGTTAGCTAGGCCACCTTGATTACACAGAATTGGCTCCGTGGTGGTCAGTCTGTGGAAGGCCAGTGGCCCTTCAGTCAGGGATAAGTTATGTTTTGGGCTTTCACTCTGTTATGAGCCTTAAGGGGATTAAAGATCCGGATCTGTAGTTGTGACACGGCTAAATGGACCACCGATACCGCTCCTTCTCGAAGCGTGGGAGAGCAGGCGGCGTTTGTTGGTGCCTTTGGCTGCCCGGGCCCGCCGGGCAGGGTCCTTCGTGCCAGAGCCCGGCTACAGCCGGCGGCGAGCACCGGCCTCAGCCTCAGAGCCTGTGGGAACGAGTCAGAGGCGAGCAAGGGCCGCCCAGGGTCCGGCCGGCTCCGTGCCTCCCGAGCCCGCCCGGGGTCCGGCCGGCTCCGTGCCTCCCGAGCCCGCCCGGGGTCCGGCCGGCTCCGCGCCTCCCGAGCCCGCCCGGGGTCCGGCCGGCTCCGCGCCTCCCGAGCCCGCCCGGGGTCCGGCCGGCTCCGTGCCTCCCGAGCCGCCGGCCGCCTCGGGGATGCTTGCACGGAGCTCAGTGTCCGAGCCGGAGCCGCTCCCTCCCGGGCAGGGAGACCCGCGGGGCTGCCGGCTGGCTGATAAAGGCGACTCCTTCCTTGCCCCCGGCCTCAGGCTATTCAAATAAGTAGGATGGAATCCTGAGCACCGCTGTGAAAAAGAAAACCCGCGGGCATTGTTTTGATCACTAATTCAGGGCGAATGAAGTGGGACCTGCATTGCTGAGATTTAATCTCACGTACGATTTGCGATACACATAATTTTCTATTTCTCACGCTCTCTAGCAGCTGAAACCGGACCGTCTGTAATTTGTGCCCCAGTATGCGCAGAGGGGTGTCGCTTCGGTGCTATGCCGTCGCCCGTGTCCCCGCCGTGCTGTCCCGGCGCCGGGAGGTGGCGCTGTGGGCCCAGGCAGGGAGCGCGGGCGGGCGCGCGGCGCTCCCTCAGCCGGCGGCCCGCGCCGCCCATCCCGCCCTGCCCTTCCCGCGGCCCGCGCTCCGCCGCGCTCGGCTGCTACAGATGTGCGCTTGTGAATGGTTTCAATAAAATTTTATAGCCGTCGTTTGAAAAATGGTAGGATTATTGTGATTTGTGCAGCCTGGCAGAAGAGAGCCCGCCGGGGCTGGCCGCGGCCGCTGCTCCCCCTGCCGCGGGCTCCCCTCGGGCGCAGTGTCCCCCGCCGCGGTCCCAACGTGTCAGGTGGCACTGGCGTTTCCAGTTTTTTCTTTTTCTTTTTCTTTTTCTTTTTCTTTTTCTTTTTCTTTTTCTTTTTCTTTTTCTTTTTCTTTTTCTTTTTCTTTTTCTTTCTCTTTCTCTTTTCCTTTTTTTCTTTCTTTTCTCAGATAACGTGCCTCATCGTGGCTCTGTAAGAGACTGTCTCTATTTTTTTTGTCCCCGGCTCGAGACGAGGCCCCCGGCATTCCCCGCTCGCGCTGGGGCCCGCAGCCCTCCTGGCCTGGGCGGTGAGGGGACACACGAGCTGGATGTTTGCGAGTGTCAGCACCAGTGCGAAGTAGCAGACATTGCAACGCAGGCAGCTTTTGTGAGAGGACAGAACTAACTCCGTGGCTAATAGTTGCTTTTTGTACTGCTGCAAGCCTTCAGTGTTTCCAAGCACCCTTTTGAAGGCATACAGACATTGAGTACTGCCGGCAGATGTTATACATGTCTGTCTCCGTAAAATACGTGACGCATGTACAAGAGAGAGCCTTTTTCTTTTTTTTTTTTCTTTTTGCTTACCATATCACCTTGTCTCCCAAGGACAGCACATTGCTAAAATGCAGGCAGAGATTTATTGGAGGGACAAGAAGGATTTTACTCCTCCTGCTCTTCTCCTTCTCAGCTCACGTCTCCCACTCCTCTGTCAGTCTGGCATCTCATGTTCTACTGTGGGCTGGAAGAAAGTAAGCAATGGAGCAAGGAGAACATCTTGCCCCTGCCCCTGTCCGTAGACTGACATGGGGGAACATCGCCCCTGTGGTATATGATAGCCTGCTGTTGGAAGACAGCAGATGTAGTTGCCTTCATTACTTGCCCCAGAATAGAGGCACGTTGTTTCAGTCACCATAGCCACTGGGTTGCTTTCTCTGTCTTTCTTCTCTCTTTCTGGAATGTGCTGGAAAATAGCCTACAATGAAACCTGCACAATACCAGTTTTCTCCATTATAATGGTTTGATATACAGTGGATTCCACAAATAGAGACATCAATAGTTTCCGTATCCTGAGGTCTTGTGGGGAGGCACATAAAAAAATTACTGTCCTCAGAGTGCTCAAGTGGGTGCTGTCATGCCTGCAGTATACACTGCAGCTTCCTGCCAGACTCTAGCTTTGGTTTAGAAGCACTGCTGCTTCACCTGGGAGACAAGAGTTGGTTGCTGGACCCTGATTCTTGTCAGTGCTGGACCAAAATGGCTCTTCTGCTTTGAATTTTGAAGGAAGTGTGGTTCTGCTTGGTCTGGGTTATTACCATTGCCCCTTTAAATAACACAGCTGTGCACCTACTGTTCAGACTCCTTTTTCTGTCTTGTTTAGAATTCCAGTTTCATGTGCAACTTTGGAGAAGAGGATTTGGGCTCTTGAGACACTCAGGAATGTTTAAAAGTTCTGTGTTTAGTTTGCTTTTAGCTATCTGAATGGACTAATAATTAGCAGAAATAATTTAATAGAGGAGTGAGACTGAGGTACTGAGTGTATATACTGAGTTGTTATCCAACTGGAAATTAAAATTCCCACTATGCTGGAAATTCATAGCTAATGACTAATAATATAACCAGTATTAGACCTAACTTAATCTAGTCTTACAACACTTGTAATAGATGCACATTCCTCTTCACAGTTAATTTTCAGGGTGCTTATAAACATCACGGTCAGTTTATTCCATTTACTCTCTTGCTTTGTGGTGGATAAGACTTCGGTAAAATTATCTGTACTCAGTATGTGCTGATAGAATCATCCAATCATGTAAATTCAGGGGCACTATTTTTAATCAGACAATATAATTGGTACTAATCTTGAAATAAATGGTGCTCCTGAGAAGCAGGAGCTCCTGTCTTCTCCGGAGCACCATCTGTGTGGCTCAAATGCAATCAGCAATATTTATATTAAATGCTGTATATTCTGCCTCATCTACTGTTTGATTTCCTCTCTCTGAGTCTCATGCTATGAACCAAAACAGGAATCACAACACCCAAGTTCTGACAAGTAATTTCTTCCCTCAGTCTGCTGTGTATACCTTGTTAATATAGCTTTGTTCAGTCCTTTTGTCAACATTCAGTGCTCATAGTAACCCAGTCTGCTCAGTGCAAGGTCTTAAGCTCAATTTTCATTATAATTTCTATGAAGCTTTTTATGTATATCCCTCATATTCTCTAAAACTTTGCTATTTTCTCTATTTCATCACAGTCATATGGATCCCACATTATCTTGTCCTAAAATATCACATTGGATTATTCCCAGAAACACTGTTCTGCTGCTCAGTTACCAGAAGACCACTCTCTAATTGCTTTGTTTGTTTGTTTGTTTGTTTCAGGTTGTAAGAGGTAAAATTTTACTCTTTTGACTAAAAAAATACAATAAAATTGAGCATACATTTTTCACATTGCCATTTTATTAACAAATGCTTGTTCTTTCTTTTTTCTTACATGGTAAGGGGTTTGTAAGCAAGCTGGATGAATTCATTCACTGGCTAAATGAAGCCATGGAAACAACAGAGAACTGGACTCCTCCTAAAGCAGAGACAGACAGCCTGAAACTGTACCTGGAGACACACTTGGTAGGACAAGATATACTATGATTGCTGTCAGTAATTGAAGTGTTCTGCTGTGCTTTTTATTTGATTATTGATTTTTAATTACTAGTGTGCATCTATATTTTAATGTAAGATTTGCAGCGTTGCAAATCTTTATTTTAATGAAAATGCCAACAAATTATTTTAATGAGGATACCAACAAATTATTTTCTGTACTTGAAATATGTACTGATAACTTTGTAAAAATTAAACTACTGTAGCTTGTAAAAAGAAAAAAAAAGTACAGAAAATTAAACTAAGAAATTTCCTCTCTTTCTGCCAAAATCTTAGGTTCTTACCAGTATGAAATGGAAGAAAATGTGGTGATAGCACTACTCTGAGCCAATGACCTAGACACCCCAGTTATATGAAACAGTGTATTAGCTGAGCCCACATCAGATCATAAACCCCCAAAGCTCAGTCTCATTTCCAGTCTCTGATAATGTTATGGTAGAAAATTATTTGACAGTCCCAGAAAGTCACGTGATCTGTTACAGGAAAAAATGTCATCTTAATCCCTACTGTAATACTGGAGTGACCATTATTAAATTAATTCAGTATACATCAACTACACATACTGTTAAAACCAAACTAAAAACTGTCTTTGGGATTTCAGCTATACAGAAAGCTCTCGTGTCTGTTGCTCTTAAACATTTCTGTTGCAGTAGTGCCTATGGGCAGTTACTGGGGTAAATGCCCATTGTTGTAGTCTATCAAATGCAGTATGAAGACACTTCATTTTTCCTCATGTTGCAGATTTTTTTTTTGTGGCAGAGTTCAGATTTTTGCCTTGCCTTCTGCACACACTCAGTCCCATGATTCCCACTGTGTTTACAGGTGCTCTGAAGGCGCAGAGCACATCGTGAAGTGAGACCTCAGAAAAGGCATTGGTCACTTCAATTTGTTTTCTTTGTACTCTGCAACATGAAATTTCCGATGAGAAGCTTTTACAAGTAGAATCACAATTTCTACTCTTGACTGGATAAAAAGAAACGTATTCCCGGTAACAGGGCAATCACCAGGCTGAGTAACTCTCACAGTCGGGTTCTTTTCCCCTTTCTTCCATGGGGAGGAGCACAGTAGCTCATTTGCAGACAAATTACTTCCAACTTTGCCATGTGGCTCTTGAGGAGGTGGGGCCAAACCCATCTCTATCAGACTGGAATGTGGAACAGCAGCTCAGAGGCAACTCCAGACTCATTGTTAGAGGTAGTCTGAATAAATGAGTATGTGGGCACCTGCACTTTCCCCTGTCAGTAGTTAGGCTCCTAGCTGCCCTCTGTGTATCTGGGCTAAGAAAATCCTCATATGCTTTCAAGATCTTTATGTTATGAAGAAAGGTGGGGATTTTTTTACTTCACTGCAGAAGTAAAATATCGAAAGAATGGTTCAGTTTCTATTTTATATTTGATAATATTATAATTATTTTATGGCATCTATATCCAGTGAAAAACTCACTGCATAACCTGAAAAACCATAACTGAGTTTTGTGTCTTGGATTTCAGAAAATGTGTGCTATCATAGCAGTTTTTACACAACAGAAAATGCAGAGCATTTTGTAGCATAGAAGGTAGTTATTTGTATTAACTAGATTGTCAGCTTTTCAGTGGCTTTTATCTGTCAGACATCCTAATCTGTGTTTAAACAGAAGTATATGAACTTCAATTTGTGTTAAGCTCACTGTTGAAATTTCCCTTAGCTGAGCATTGTAAGGCCATGGTGTGAGGGACTTACACGTCTCATTTTCTTCTTTTACCAGTCAGGTTATCCATGTCAGACTTGCCTAAGATATGCTAAAGTAAAGGATTTGGAACTTAGGTTCCAGACTTATGGGTTTATAATACAGACACTGGTAGTAAACTAGATGAGAAAACAAAGAAAATGTCTTGGTTGTTTCCTATGTAGTGTACACGTAGCATATCTCATAACTGATTCCTCACTGATGCAGGTTTTCTCATCCTGGAATGGGTGAAAACTCGATATAGTTGATTTTATTGTTAGGGACATATCTTTAGCCTTTGGCACAAGTTAGCAATTACATGAACTGTGGTACTATTTTCTTTGAAATACATTTGTTGTGCTGACAAAATTAGTGCCATAAAGGGAGAATATTTTTCAGTTATGAATGAAATCTCTTCTGTCAGAATTTAAGAAAAGAAAATAACAGGACAAGAAAACACAAAAAATGTACTTGTTCCCTTTGTCATTGGTTGGGAAAAGTTCTGCAGAGGTGACAAGGAGAAGGTTGTGAACATCTCCCAAATTTTCCAGTGTGTAAAACTGTAGGCTGTCACTTTAGGATTTTAATGTAAACTGTTGAAAAAGATTTGAATTTTAAAATCTGTCCCCACTCAGTCTTGCTTTTCTTCATCTTTGACATTTCAAGAAATGGTGAGGCACAGACACATAAATAGAGTGTGTTTAAAACAAAAGGCATTGTAAGAAACCTACAGCATCAGCTTTTGAAAATCTTTGCATAAAGTAATGCTCACGTGAGGAGTCAAATCTCTTGAACAGGATGGCAATTCAAGTCTCTATTACAAGTGTCTTAGCATGACATCAGCTTAAATTGGTACAATTTCCCAGACAGTTGTTCTTGTTAATTCTTATACCTGGCCTGGCAATACTGTCCACAAGATGTTAATCAACACTTTGAAGCAGATGAATAGTGTTTGTCTGTTGCTCTTGGCTCAGGAAGAGTTGCCTGCAGCGGCTTCTCTGTAAGTGTCTGAAGTCCTGCCTGGACAGCTCCTGAAACAGTGAAGCACACTGTGATGATGGTGGAAGGCAGCTTCTCCTCAATTTGGTCATTTTCCAATTATCTCATCTGCACAGAGACTAGATGGGGAGTTCCTGGGCCACCAAGGGAATTCACAACTAAATGCACTGTGTGTGCACACAGGCACAGGCCAGATACCCAAATACACCACAATTATCACAATTATAACTGGTAACTGTAAGACCTATTGGAATTTCATTCTTAAAATCACAGTTACAACTTAACACTCTATAGATTTTGCCGCGATGAGAAACCATACATTTTGCTAAGGAGTATGATTTTTTTCTACAAGCGGAAAGGTATTCTACATCTTGAATGTGTGCTCTACCAGACAATCTTCAGCTTAGAGAACAGTTTTCTTGCAAATTTTAAAACCTAGCTCCCTGATGTTCTGCAGAACAAAAGTTGCTATATGCTTCATTTTAGATAACACCAAAGCACAAATCTATAAATTGAAATGCTCTCAGAGATCCCTGAAACAGTGACTGAAATTATTCTTTCAATTTTACAGGTCTTCACAACTCAGTAATGTTGGTTAAACTGATTTGGGAGCTGTGTGCTTCCCATTCATATGGAAGAGCTGACATGGAGCAGCTACCCCTTGAACATCTGGCACTCTGCAGGCAGCCACCCAAGCCAGCAGATGTCGAAAACACTAATATGTTTTCATAAAACAGGCGTGTTTTTCAGTAGAAATCTACTTTTCCACAAAGGTCTCAGTCAGTCTTACTAGAGAAAAAATGAAGCAGGTTTTAAATTTTTTGAACAATTAGGTTAAAATCAGTTCCTAATGAAAAGATAACTTCATTTACCTTACAAAAAGGAATTTCTGAAAATGGTTTCTGATTCTCTTAATCATTTGTATCTCTCCTTTTCTGTTATGCTGATTCTTGCCCATTGGCACCCTGATCAAAATCAGCTGCTAGCAGACTCTAAGCATAGACTTGGTGGTATGCAAATCAGTTTTCATTAAAAACGGTATCCTGAAGGCAGCTTATGAGCTAAACGCGTCTGTCTAGGTGGTACTGCTGTGCTTGTGAAACCAAGCAGACTTTCTAACCAGCTTAGTATTGTATTAGTATGACAAATAAGAATGTACATGTGCATGTACAAATACGCCATCTCTTGACCATTTTAGTTGGCTAAAAAACACATTTAACTTTACGTTGTTTTAGCACAGTAAAGAAGTAAGCTAGCTGCTGTGAAGAACCATGGAGGAAAAGGTTTAGACAAAAGGTACTATATATATTTGCTGAGGCCTGGAACTTCTAATTCTGTAGTTTTAACTTTTTCCTTTTGTTGTTAACACAGTACTTTGTTTTCTTGTTGCTGCACAGCTCCTACTTCTGCACTGTAGTGTGGTGTGCTTTTAGGTCATTGTACTAAGCCACTTCTGTGTCTGGAGTCATACTTAGGGCTAGGGAACACAAGCATTTTAAATGGGATCCTGCAAATGAAAAATATAATATCTTGCACTTACTTAGGTGCAACTTTTTAAATACTTATTGCATTATTAGTAGGTGTTGGCAAACAATATTTCTTCAGTAGAGATAAAACTAATTAAGGTATCTTCTTCTTAGAAATTTGGAATTAGTAGTCAAGCATTTTTATTCATTTTTGTCCAGTAAGAGGTTTCTTGGATTTTTTAGGCAAAAATATTTGTTCTGTTTAGTTGAAACTAGAATAGCAAATATAGTTCTGTAAAAACCACAAGTGGTGAGGATTGCATGTAGTTATTGCGGTACAAAATGTGGTTTGGATATGCTAACTGATAATATGCATTAACAGTAATTTCTTAGTTTTCTTTTCAGATCCCTGTTAGTAATATTTACTCCAATTTAGTCACAAGCTTTGTGCCACATTAAAATCCTTTTTAGCCCAGAATCAGTTCATTATATTAACCTTCTCAGTCACCATATTTCCGTTACTTCTTAGAGTCTTAAAAATATCATAGTGCAAGTGTCATTAGTATTTCAAAGGAAATTAGACAAGTTGATTCACACTAGCATTTCCTTTCCTTCTATACATGTTAAGATGTCATCTCCATTCAGAACCAAATTCTTCTTAAGATACAGGGGGCTTGAGTTTTATTATCCAAAGAGAAATGAAATAAGAATTTTTCTGCCTCCGTTATAAATGTTTCTGGCCACATCATAGCTCAGCAATTTCTGAGCTGAAAACAGCAAATGCCTTCATACAGAAAATA